AAAAAATTCATTATCCCATGAAACAATTAATCATTACAATGTATTAATCTTCAAGAAGAACGGGGCGATACATGTTTATTATAACAAATTCTCGTCGATGTTAGTCTACATAATACGTGAAAAAAAAAGTGTTCCTATGCCATTTTTTTCTTCTTATATTCAGTGCTTCTTTTTATTGTGTATTCGTACATTTTTCTATCGTAGTTTAAAATAAAAATAAAATATTCGATCTAATCAATTTTAAATTTGATAAAATTATTGGTAATTAGAATATTCAATAAGTGCGATATTTTGTCAATAATGCTTAGTCATTCTTTCGATTAGTTTTGGTAATTATTCGTACTAAAGAAAATTAACTTAGGTTTACCTTTTTCTATTTGTGTAGTTTATATTAAATGGAATGTTGATTTCTACAATTGTTGCATGTTAACCCTTTACAGCCGGCTATCAGAAGACAATAAGCCACAAGTTATCTTTCTATATATTCTTTCTTGTTTAGTTACAGGGATCAATTTTTCACGACCGATTTTTTAAAAAATGCCGTACCCCCCTACGGCAAAATTGTTGCCTTTTGGCAACATTCGGCCGTAAAGGGTTAAATGAATTCGTTACACATCTTTGTGATGTCACAATAGCTTTCAATGATTTCTTACTCATCTTGCTCCATATACGGGCTGATTGAAGTAGGACAATTAATAGATAAAGGTCTCGATAACTTCGTAAAAACCTTTGATGAATAACAAAATAAGATACATATAGATGCTGTACAGAAAGCTTATCTATATTTACTATCGAAAAATAAAGTACATATATATTATTTACATTTACTTTGAATGAATTAGAATGAATATAAAACCATCGAAATCAAGATAAGCAGCTGATATCAATTTATTAGTAAACTGTATCGGAATCGACTAAATGTCTCGTCAATAGTTTAATTTTAATATTTGAAATTTTTTGAGTTGACGATTTTGTTCTTTTATATGTTCTCTACAAACTGATGTATTTTTAAGGTCCGGCTGACGTTTTATCGAGGTTTACGAATACCGAAGAAAGTGAAAGTTGACTTCGCCTGTTTTCTTCTATTCGAAATCGTTGATACGACATCGATCGTATCTTCAAAATATATCAGTTTGTAGAGTACATGTTAGAGAACAAAATCTGCAATTTAACTCGTTCGTAAACTAAATTCAATTGAGCCTTTTTGAACTGAATCATACAGTTATAATGTAGAGAAATTAGAAAAACTACAGCACACAATCTAAAAAATCACAATACTTTATTTTCATGAAACTTTCCTTCGTAAATATTTTCTTTTGTCAAAGCAACAGAACGTTTTTTGAGTTGAATTCGAGCTCTTGAAAAAATTTTCTCAATTAATTTCAACTCAAAAAATGAGTTAAATTGCATAAGTCTGAATTGATTCAATTGAACAAGCATGACGTGAAAGAATACCTTCATTTTCAGATGTCTGAACAAAAAAAAATTTTAATTTCGTATTTATTAGATCTGATTCTTTTTCAGTTATATTTTGTAGAAGGACATAATTTGTTGAATCTTTGTCTAAATGTTGTACTGAAATATCATTAAAATTAACAGTAAAAATATTGAGTACACCATATAAACTAGCTTTAGATAATAAAGTGATTGATAAATAAATAATTGTAAATATTAATATTAGACAACGAGACGATTTCGAACTTATTGATGAAAATAATTAATTATCTTCGACAACTAACAGTACTGTTCGAACTGGTCTAAAAATATATCCCAGTCAAATGAGATTGAAAGCCATTGAACTGTGGCATAAGTATTGTGCTTGACGTTAAGTAACTATCGAGTTTAATTGAATAAAGGTAAAGAAGAATATAAAAATAACATAGCAAAATTTAGTTAGATGACATGTAATTATCAGAAGATGTAGATATGTAAAATACTTCAAATCTTGTTTACGATATTATATTTAGACTGCCCAAAGTAAAGCAACTGGTTTTCTATCCTAATTTTTTCAAGAATATTAAAGTCTTTCATTAGTACTTTTTCAAGATTTATATAACAACATTTATCGTAACATGAAAGTACATCAAACACATCTATTCACATGTCTTTTCATTTTGTATCATAATTACCTATAATTACAAATCAATATATATGTTCTCACTCTCACATACCCACATACAAAACTTCATCACTATCTCTTCAAAACAAATTATTATATCATCACCATCATTTCACATATTATAAAATAACTTTTATCACATAAATACACACTTTTCTATAATTTTTCAAACATACAACACTGCAATCTAGTAGATATTCATCAACTAGAATCAACCATATTATCAATGTCTTATATCTTTTCTGATACATACATATATAAATATTAGATTCATCTAATAATAACATCAAGTTCAAGGAGTCTAGTACTGATTTTTATCTCATATGTAATTTAGAATGAATATTTTTATAATATTGATTTGTATAAAAAGTAAATGTATTGAACGACTAAATGTTGTATTAAACAGTAATATAATTGTTGTCTATTGGATATAGTTGAAGTTTGATTGACGAAGACTAAAAAATAAAAATATGATGTTTTGAGCGAGATCGTTTAATACATATTTATTAAAAGAAAAAGAAAAACATATTTTTTCCCTCAAATTAAGGTATAAATTTGATGTTAGACATGAGGTAATGATATTTTCTCTCAAATCATACCTAATTACGAAGACGTGATCTGCTTAGATTTCAATAAATTTATAACTGATTATATTCAGATAGCTCTCGTGTCATATCAATATTTGCAGATCTAAATTTGATAAAAAACCTTCCAGCATCTAAATAAATAAATGACTATATCATCGTAGAATTTTGATTTTCATGTATCAATATACAAGAAAATTACCTGGTTTCGTCTTTGATATTTCATCTACCGCTTTCGGTGTAATTCAATTGCAACGAATTATTGTCTCTATATAAATAATAGAACTATTCACAATATACAAATTAAACGTAAAAAATACAACAATTCAATGCACAAGAAAAAACAAAATATAATAGAATAAAATAAATTATAATAACGTTAATTATTAAAATCTCTCATCTATTATATTTCCTTCTCAGTTGCATTGGATGTGCGCCGATTCGTTTACCATATATGTTGGATTGTTTGAAAAATAAAGTAGATATTTTAGTTTGGATCAGTTAGATTGATTCAAACTTAAATAAATCCTTTGGATGATTTGTGGAGAGATGAATGTTGAATAATAGCTGAAATAAACTAATGAGTTTTAAGTAAATGTGACTGAAAATACTGTATTTGTGTATTAAATGCTGACACTATAGAATATATGCGATACGTTATTGTACGAAGTAGTACTCGCAGTACTCGAATTTTTTGTAAATGCGTATTTTTAGTCATAGTTCCATGAGTTAATTATAGATAATTTGTGTTACAACAAGAAAATATAAACAATATGGTAATAAAAATATTTTTGATAAATACGTTCTATATGTATGAACGAGATGTTTCTTGTTTATACGTTGTCACGCTTATCAATGTAGATGGCAAACGTAAATATATACTTTATTTCATGTGAATAGGTTAACCAAGCATGGATGAATTGAAGTGCATAGAAAAACATTATTCTGATAAAAATAGCTTCAAATATATGTGTGAAGCATGTTTATCAGTTGATATTTTGATAAACAATACGCTATTTTTAATTAAATTGACTATTGTGTCGTTTAATATAGCTCCAGCAGGAATATGATAAATATCATGTGATCAATATATTTCGAAATAAAAAAACAACATTCTCATAAGATAAAAATGGAAATCATGCCATCAAAATAAAAATAATTTTTTTCCGGTTACTGGTAATGAAAACAGCAGAAAAAATCATGCTTTCTTGCGAATTGATACCATCTCATCGAATTTCTTTGTTTGAAAACATTTACTTGTTGTCGAGATAGACTGATTTTTTTTTATTAAATAGACGAAGGACATGAAAATTAGTCATAGGTGTACTATATTTTTCGTTCCATGAGAATGGCGTATGTTGGAAAAGGAAGAGAGTGTTCGAGACGTTTCATTGAATATGTTTACATGTTTTTGGTCTCACCCTTCGTACATTTATTACTAATATATTGGAATTCGTGCGCCTATAAATACGAGCATCAATTCACAAATTTCATTTATTGACCTTGACTAACTGTTCGCCTAATGACGATGCACGGTACAGGTATGGATTACTCTACATTAAACCATTTTCATAGGGTCGCAAGAGCTATGAACCATTATGTGGCTACATCATCACATAATTCTTCACATACTGGACGCGATGGCTTTCATGTTGGACCACCTTTCTATCCAAATAGCGGTCTTGGAAATCGTGTTGCCGGTGGTTTACATTCAATCGGTATGCCAAATAGTTTTGTTAGTTTGGGATATCGTGTTGGACAAATGGTTGATTCTTATTTATAATTTACTGTCGTCACTGTAATATAATTGTAATCAGATATGTCTTCATTTTTTTCAATTCAAATATTCAACGAACTGTCAATTATTTATTTATAATTTTGATATATATATATCTATATGAACTGAGAAGAAGATTATAAGAGATATGTTCTTTTCGTTAAATCATTTTGGTAATATTTCATATTAGACGAAAGAACTATTTCTATTCTACTTCTTCTCATTTTGTAGTTTTTGACAATTAATTTATATGTTTACGATTAGTGTGAAATAAAAATAGAGCATCCTAAGTATTTATTTCGTTTATATTAGTTGAATTCATCAAATTATTTATGATTATTATATCTTATTTCAACATAACAATTGAGATTCTCTTTCAATAGATATTAAACTTTTATTATTTTTTTACGTTGTCTTTATCGAGTAGAATATTTATACATTCAATTGTTTTATTTACGAAAAAACTTCTCCAATTATACGGACTGTCAATCATTCATTATTTTATCATTTTCTATATCGTAAATATATTGATTAGATTTTGATATTTCGGAAGTAGATATATACGCTTCGAAAACAACCTGCAATATCAAATAAAAATGGCGCATATTGAATGAGTATTTGATGTTTTTTTGATCTCTTTTACCTGAAAAAATATTCTGATAAATAATGAATTTATTAAGAAAACGAATAGTAAAACTCAAAATAAAAGATTGTTCTTCTTTCCATTCAAAAAATATGAAACAACAAAATTCAACTCCAAGGCAGCTTCATAAATATTAATAATTCGATGCTATGTGTACTATTGAATTGCATATTCTTTCAAGCAGTAGCAAATTTAGAAAATGAGAGGTATATTGGATGCAATTGCACCCAATCTCAAACTTTTCCTAGTAAAAACGGTCCGAAAAACAGTAGATGATATGTCGAATGGGAGCGATAATACGATTTTTGATCGGAATCGCCACTCATCACAAAAATTCGACATTAGTCAATGCTCTCGAGCACTAGTTAATACAACCAAAGACCTGTTTCGATCTCACTGAATTTTTTATTTTCAGTCACATTCGTCGATTTGTATATGACAAAGTGTGCTACGAATAGTCAAGTGTATACACAGAGAAAATATTTTTCTTCACATCTCTCAAGTCTTCCATTAAGTGATATTTTTTTCGAATTATTATTCTTTTCTAATAGAATATAAAATACCAAAATATACGAAGACGCATAGACTAAATTAACTAACTTTTATTTGAAAACTTGCCACAATATATTTTGTTCAAGGTTGTAATTGTATAGTTGTTTTGACGAATTCATTTCATTTGGTTATTTATAAATCAAGGAAAATGTTACATAACTATTGAAAACATCATGTCAACAATAATATTGATCGAACAATGTAAAAGTTTTGCACCAACACTCAATAACTGCAAGGTAATTTATAATTTGCTTGATTGATTCATTTGAATAAAATATATTGTACAAAATAAATATATATATATGTAATTCAATAGAATAATTATGTGAAATGTTATTCATAACAATGTAACAAAAAACAAAAAATTGTTGTAGCAATAAGTATAACTTTCTATTATTTTGATTTGTCCTTCATTTGTTTTATGACGATGAAAGGTCGATTTGAATTTTTAGGGAAAAGAGAGCTATAGCAAGTGGTTTTATAGAAATAATGTCATATGATATAGCAAGAGGGATTTATGATTGTGACGATTTTAACGGAAGTAGCGCCAGCACTGATAGAGCTACACACTTTATTATATTTTTCCTTATCAAAAATCACATCGTTTTCATAGAAAGCACACATCTACATACTCTTTCAATATAGAGCATGAAAGAATGAAAGAATAAGAAAGAAAGGGATATTAAGGATAAAGTGTCACATGATATATAAGACAAAGACAAAATTAGATGGGGCCAAGTATCACACGATGTATGGAATAAAGACAGAAAGGTAAGGGCAATATATCAAATGAGAAGAAATAAGAAAGAGGAGGCAAGCATCGTTACTCTGATGATATTTATTTAGTGTATATAACTGAGATAAAGTTTCATATTATTTTCTTATAGATTTACAACAGAAAGTCACGAAGATTTAATTCTACAAAAGCAATTACTACGCCCTAATTTTCAATATTATAAACAACTTATCAACAATGTTTTATCCACTGTCGCAGAAATTACAGTTGCTCAGCCAACTATGGTTGATCATTGTCGACAATATTTTTCATACTATAAAACTGATTTTATTTATATAAAAAAATTTGCAAAAACGTATACACCCGCACAAGCAGTATATTGGTACACAAAAGATTGTTTTATTCACCGAAGCATCAATGCAGTATTACGTACCGGAAATATCGAGGAATATTATTTGTTGCGCTTTTATATATCTGGTTTGAGTAAGCAACTTTATCAATTTAAGTATCAACAACAGGGGGATATTTTAATATCGAATACACCTACTATTCTATACCGCGGTCTAAGACAATCAGAAGCAGATCTTAAAATTCTTCAAAGTCTTGTTGGTCGTGTTATTTTGACAAAAGGTTTTATGTCAACCAGTCATTATAAAAATATTGCTCTTTGTTATGCTGGAGCATCTGATCCACAAAGTCTTCAATCACAAGCATTACTTCTCGAAATATATGTTAATATGAGAGATCCAGATATAATTGCAGCTGATATAGCTCATTTAAGTAATTTCCCTGAGGAACTTGAAGTTCTTTTTGATTTTGGTTGTCATTTTCGAATAGAATCAATGACATATGACTTATCAGATTCAGTTTGGCATTGCCGATTAGTAGCAATATCAAATAAATCTCAAATGATTTAATTATTTCCGCATGTTTCAGTCAATGAAAGCTGCATGAATTCTAGTAGATATTATCAAGTTGAAGAAAAATTAGAAAGAATAATGTATCTGGAACGACTACAAAAATTTAAGTTAAAATATAATCATGAAGAAATTAATTTGTTACGATCTAAATTACCATCAATACCTTGGATAGCAAATAATTCAAGTGATCGAGCACGTATTCTTCAACAAAAAGTGTTGATACAATGGCAACTAATTGGAAGCATACCTCGACAACAAAGTGGAAGTATACGTCGGCAGCTAAGTGACAGTATGCAACGACTTCGTTTTGATTGTGAACAAACTTGGAAACTTTTTCAACAAGATATTAACGATACTTTCATTGAAAGTAATGATGCAGCTTGCTTTTTGAATAATTTAGGCTATATTAGTCGGCTGTTGAATGACACTGAGTGTGCTATTGAACTACTTAAAAAAGCAATGAAAATCCGTGATCGATTTCAAACATCTGAACATTTTCGTGCTCAAAGTTTACGAAATTTAGGACTTGCTTATACTGATCAAGGTGATTATGATAATGCATTAGCTGTTCTTAGTCAGGCGCTTATTCTTGGCCAACAAAGTCGACCTACAGCACAATGGGGTACATCGATGACTCTTCGAAATTTTAGTTATTTCTACCATATGCGACGTGATTATTTAAAATCCATTGAATGTTTACTCAAAAGTTTAGAAACGTTTCGAGAATGCGTAAATCGTTGTACTGAATGTTAGAAACCATAGTAAAACATATTCATCGAGTTCTTAGTACTTATAATTATATAATGTGAATTACTTTTATAAATAATTTTTGCTTAAAAATGTAGTAAAACTTGCTTTGAATATAATCTTGAACTTTTAAAAAGTTATATGATAATAATCTTTGTATTTAAAATAAATGATTTCATAGAATTTATCTTTAATTTAACTGAACACATATACGTCAGAAGCAAAATGTCAAGAATAAAGTGAATCATGTTTTATATAATCTATAGTTGTTTACATACATTTGTCGAACATGTTATGTATACAAAATGAATAAAATATACGTCCTTGAGAGAAATACATCAGATGGTGAAGAAAGGAAAAAAAGAGAATATAATATGTTATATATTGAATATAAAGGTCGAAAAGAAATGGATAAGTGATTAAGTATAGTCATTTGTTTGATACTGTTTCTTTTCTAACTCGATATTATATACACAATGTGTCTTCCAGTAAGAAATTCAATCTTTATATAATTTATATATTATTTAAAATAAAAATTTAGCTCTGTTGTGATTGTGGTCCTGTTGATTGCTGTGTATGTTGTATTCCACTTGATTTTTGTTGTCCTAGTGGTAGTAGCGAAAAGTAAGGAAATAACATATATATTCACTTAGTTTTATTTTGAAAAATTATATTTAGGGTAATTACAACTCAACCACGTTAATATTGTCATTGGTCAATACAAAGAAATGATTACATTATGAAATAAATCTTTTTTTTTATATAAATAATCAAGCTATTCAATTATTAAAAATAAATAAATTCTGAGATAAAAAGTCACATTTAAAGTTAATACAATAGTTTTGATCACAATAAAATCTGAAGTATACAAGTACATTTGCAATTAAGACAAATAATCTATATGAAAACTATTCCGTAGAGACAGAAATACGTTGAATTGTTCTTAGAAGAGAATTACATTCTTCGATTGTATGAGCTAACAAAGATGTTCCTTTTTTTATTATCTCTCAATATTCAAGCATTCTATATGAAAATTAAGTAAAAGCTAAGAAATCAGTTAAACGATGCATTGAATTAAGAATAAAGTTATCCACATAATAATAAATTAGAACGATTGATACTTGAATTTATGAACAACAACTGCATCTTTTATTAAATATACAAAAAGCTAATCGATAAATTCGAAATCACGTTAATTTATCAAGCATCTTTTTTTGTTATTAATAAATTATATTGTTTAATCGAAGTTTGTCTATGTAGATAAAAATACTGAAATGTCTCTGTCTGATAACATTGTATTTTTTGTTTTTTTAAGTAAAAAAGCCATAAGAGAAGACATCTAAATTAAGAATAAGAGGTAAATAATTATCGTAAGATAACAACGATAAGAAAGTGTTGTGTATATTTTTACCTTGTGTAAAATAAAAAGATTACTTAAGTTAACAGACACACTTTTAACAAAAAGATTCATTAGGGACATTGTGTAAGTACTTGTGCAATTTATTACAATAACATATATCATTCGAGTTAACTAATTTCATTAAGAATAAATATCTTTTATAAATATAAGAGTTTCTGTGTAGTTTTACATATTTCTTTTGTTCAAAAGATAATAACAATAGTAACAGATATATTCGATTAGTCTTTTTTGTATCAAAGAATTCAGTTAATAAAGCAGAAAAACAAAACCAGAATTATCAATTAACATATTATCCTTGTTGTATTATTGACTATTTCTATACTAAGATATTTATTGTATAATTTGTAGAATAATATTGAATTAGTTTAAATTGAAATTATACATGGCTTTATTCATATTTTTAATTATGATTATCTCATTCCATATAATCAATGTCGATAATCATAAATTTGCTCATCCTAGTGCAAAGTTAATGAGAGTGAGTGGTGATCCACATCTAGGTTATATTAATGTTCGTGCTCCTCCATACAATGCTACAGGTGACGGTGTTACCGATGATACAAATGCTATTCAACGTGCATTAAATGATGCTGGTAATATGGGTGGTGGTATTGTGTTTGCTCCTCAAGGAAATTATTTAATTGCTAGTCAATTAATTATACCAGCTGCAACAGTCTTACAAGGTGTTGCTTCACATGTTCAAAAACAATGGGGTAACCCAAGTACAAAGACAATATTTGGAACAACACTTTTAGCTATTGTAGATGCTGGAAATGATACGGGTTTACCTTTTATTAGTTTAGCTGGTGATAGTAGTGGTATAGAAGGTTTACAAATATTTTATCCTAATCAAGTTGCAAAAAATCCACCTATTCCTTATCCATGGACAATTAGATGTGGACAAAAAGGATTGAGTATTGAAAATATTTTTGTTAAAAATGTTCTATTAGTAAATTCATGGAAAGGTATTGATGCTGCAACATATCAAGCACCTCGTCATTGGTTTGAAAATGTTTATGGTCAACCATTATTACTAGGTATAACCGTTGATCAATGTTATGATATTGGAAGAATTAATCATATACATTTCTGGCCATTTTGGTCACAAGATTCAGCATTATTAGAATGGATTAATAATAATGGTGTAACATTTTTATTTCTAAGAACAGATTGGGAAATAGTTGAAGATGTTTTTAGTTGGGGTTATCAAACCGGTATGGCTTTTCGTACAAGTTCATTTGGAGCTTGTAACGGACAATTTACAGATATTAATTTTGATAATGTTGATATTGGTATTGATGTATCATATACTCAAACATGGGGAATTATGTTTTCAAATTTAAATTTAGCTAATGCAGGTGGTGGTTCAAATCGTATTGGAATATTAGGACGTTCAATTAATGGTACAAAACCAACCGATGCAATTATGGTTGTACGTGGTGCATCATTTTGGGGCGTATTTCAACAGAATCTTGTTTGGGCACATGCTGGTCTTATATCAATTAGTGACTCATTATTTAGTATGTGGAATAAAACATCTACATGTATTGAAATTCAACGTGGACGAGCAATGATTAATAATAATTATTTTGGTGATGATATTGGAAATGCTATGAATATTAGTCATGATGCTGATAAAGTTACTATTACTAATAATCAATTGAATGGAAATAGATTAATTTCAGTTACTAAAAAAACTATTTTAATTGCAAATAATTTAGCTTAAATATTTTTGTAATTTTTTTCTTTTATTTTCCGAAATATATTCGTATAAGAAAATCTTTATTCTTTTAACGGAAAAAATTCAATCATATTTCGAGCATGCTCAGAAAACTATCGATATAAACAGATTCGTTTTTACAAAATAAAAAAATCAAAACTATCGATTTATTTATACAACGGATATCATTGATTCCCATGAATCACCAGATTTAATTTGTACTGGTAATAATAATGATATTTTATCATTTCGTTCCATTTCTTGATGAATGACATTTATAATTTCATTTGTACGTGAACTTATTTCAATTTCAAACATTAATTCATCATGAATTTGTAAAACAAGATAAACTGGTCGAATAGGTGTTGGACGAACTAAATAAATAAAATTCTAATCTGTATTTATTCTTTGTTTAATAAAACAAATTCTACTTTTGAAATCAAAAGGAAATATTCGATCTAATGTTTGATTAATACGTTCTATAGCCATTTTCATTATATCACAAGCAGATGATTGAATAACAAAATTTATTGCTTGTCGTTCCATCTTTCAAAAAAACAAAATTATTCGATTTCTTTTTTGTCTATTTAAATAATTAATTTTTAATTACTCGAGCTTTATTCATTTCATTTGCTGACATACGAGCCAAATCAAAATATAATGGACGTCCATACATACTTTGTACATAACCTATTTCACCAACTTGTCGTTTAATATTATCAAGATATTGACTCATTATTGGAAATGTTTTATAGAAATTTTCAACAAAATCTTCTGCTTCATTTATTGTCATACGTGTTTCACGTGCAAATGTTTCTTTTGACATACCATAGAGAATACCATAACAGATCTAGAATACAGAATAGGAAAATGTTTTGAATAGAATATATAGAACAAACTTGTTTCGTATTTTGACGTTGTTCAGGAGTTATTTCATATTCGGGTTTTTTTAAAAGATCCGCAGCGAGTGATATGAAAAAGTCAGTATCAGTCGTTAAACGTGTTTTTAATTTATCATCTTTAGAAAGATGAGCAAGAACACGTAATTCTAATTGAGAATAATCGAATGAAACAAGTTGAAAACCTAAAATAGAAGTAATATATTTAAGTTATGGGGAATTAGAATAAGAATTCTTTGGTTCCTCAAGTCTCTTTTCTTAATCTATATCTTTATTTCATAACCTGTTCGAGCAATAATCATTTGTCTTAATTGCACCATCGATTCCTTTTGTAAAGATTTAATAGGAAAACGTTTTGGAACATGTTGTAATGGTGGATTAATAACAATCATTCGTCCAGTTGCTGTAAAAAAATGGCAATACGCATAAGTACGTTCTGTTTGCCACGCAGCTTCTCTTCGTAAACGTTGTAGCGATTGTGGTTTTGTTGGTTCATTAATATACTGTTCAAAACTATCGATACAACGGTCAAGTGCACTTTGAACTTGTCGATATTCAATAATTAATTTTGGTAATGGATGTTTATCAGCTAAAATATTTAAATAAGATTTTTTTAGACATACACGACCATGTGGTGTACGTTGTATTGGTAAATGAAGTTCATCATACAGAATCTAAAGCATATATTAAATAAAAGATATTTAAAAACAAACAATATTTGAATATCTACTTTAATAAGATCTTTTTGTCGATTGATTTTAAAACGTCGTCTAACTATACGATATGCTTGCAATTCAAGTTGATTCATTAAAGTCTAAAATAAATTTTTATTCTCGAACAATTGTGTATATATATATACGAAAGATTGTATACAAGAAGATCTTCTCGAATATTACTTAATTCTTCACGATTAATTAATATTCCATTAAGTAACATTTGAAGCATAGTATTTAATGCCGGCATTTCAATTGTTATATAATAATTCCATAAATTATTTTTACTCATTTGTTGTTCAATTATTGGAACTATCGATGCACAGAGAAGAACCTCACCAGCTATTTTTAAACATGCCATTTCACGATGATTATTATCTTTATATGCATTAAGACTTGCTATCAATAGAAATCATTAAATAATCTTAGAAAAAAACTCTTTCAATTTTACCATCAAATTGAAGTACACTATGATGTTCTTCAATCCAAGTAGAAATTCGTTCGGAATCAATCGGATTTTGTTTTAACCATGCACATACTTGTAAATCAATTATTCGTGCTAAATAATATAATTCATTGAAATTTTTAAAACAAAGTAAAGTTAACTAACCATATACTCGTGGTATTGATAAATAGGATGAAAGGATAAATAATGTATGTAATGCATTGAATACAATTACATTGTGTTTTCGATTCATTAATTTTTCTCGAACATGAATAAGTGCGGACATTCGATTTTGTTGGAAATCTAAAGAGAAAATATCGATTTTACATCAATGATTCATTTCTTGAGGGTGTAGTTGTGGGTGTGGGTGGATATTTTTCATATGTTTAGATTTATCTCAATGGCGGATCTAGGATTTTAGAGGGGGAGGGGGGCAATACCTAAGTAGGCACGGGCGGCACCTGGGGAAGCGAGGTGATCCCCCCGTCACCCCCTAAATCCGCCACTGATTTATTTAGAAACATGAGGAATGTCTTATGCCCAATTGAATCTATTTAGGATGCAAGAGATAATCATTGACTCCAAGCATTGGGACACAGTTTGAATACACTGAGCGATTCGAATTGAATCGATACCTTTTATTAAATATCTCTTTTTTTTCTTACATAGTTCATCTTCTGCAACATCAATAATATAGACTTTGTGAGTGCTAAAAGCACAAGCAACATATTGTAAATATAATTCTTGTTGATTATTAATATGAAATACATTTGGATCTATAGATAAAATAAAAACAAGAATATAAACAAGAATTTATTGTAATAATTTACCAGAAATTGTTTTTGTTAATTTTTTAGTAAAACAACTAATAGCAATTGTTTCCTTGTGTTCAATCATTAAAATAAATTCTGAACAAATATATTTTCCATTTACATACGCATTACGAATATTTATATTTTTATCGTCAAGTAAAGATGGAAATTGAATAGATGAAGATAAAATTGGTGAAGAAATATTACTTTCATTTTCATCTTCATCAGAATCTGTATCTGAATTTGAAACATGTTCATCTATTTAAAAAAAATGAATAATATTGTATACAGAAAAATGTTTTACTTTTAATATCTGTTTGTCCTCTTTGAATAACCATTCCAAATCCCATTGCTTGTAAATCATGTTGAAGTAATATTTTCGCTTCTTCTATAATTTCTCTTGCTGCTTGTGCATTTGTTAATGCTGGTCGTCCAGGAACGAATATACAATACTGATCACGTCGTGATTGACCTACACCTTCATCAGCTAATTGTTGTGCTGTTCTACATACAATTTTAATTATATTCTATCAAAAGATAAAAACAAGGATTCTTACGTTTGAAATGGTATTGCTCTTTGAATACTTCGTTCAATTTCATAAATATCTCCATTCGCTAATGAAGCAATCGTAGTAAAACCATCTGAATAAAGTTGTCGAGCACGACAAGCATTTAAAATCGAAATTCTAACCAATTCACACAAATCCTACATATTCAAAATCAATTTTTTTATTTGATTATTTTCACAAAAATATATATACTTGTTTAATACCAAAATTGATTCTTGATTGAAAACCATTTAATAATTGTTTTAAATTATTCCATGAAAGACGTTCAGCAAATATTTGTACAATACATGTAAATGTTGCTGTTGTTTGTTGTAATTGTTGTACAAAACTTTTTGTACATTCATATTTTCGTATAACATCACACATACTTTTTTCGCATAATAAATCATTAAGAATAAGTGCAACAAAAAATCGTGCATAACGTGATCCATCATGTTTTTCTTCATATTCACGTTTTTCTATGCGTAATGATGCTGCTTTTTTATATACAACCATACCATTAACACCAACTAAATGTGCGACATGTTGTTCAACAGCACCAGTTGGCCAAACAGTATGAAATATATTCCAATCGAGTGTTGTTAACATTGAATTTATCAAATGTTGAGGAATTATCTAAATATAATTATATATTTTATGAAAAAGAAGTCTTTTTGAGGGAAATTAACTTACAAGATAAACAAGATGTAGATCATTTTCGAGACATAAATTTCGTTGAGCTTTGTTCAATTCAACAACAAGTTTAAGACCATCGTCTGGATTAATCGCAGAACTAATAACTGCTAAAGCAAGTTGTGTTGGTTCATATCTTAAATTATTTTCATTATCAATATTTTCTTTATCTATACAATGAATAAGTTCATTATGACTTAACCAACTAAGACATTTATCGATAGTTGATTGTTCATCTATTGTTGATCTATCTGAATTTGCACAAGTATAAAAAAATGTTGATCTAAGATAGGATATAATTTGTTCTTTAGTATTTGCTTTTCCACTTGAAATTATTTCAAGTAAAGCTCGTTTAAGACTTGTATGTGTTTCGGTTTCGAAAAAACAACTATTAACTGGTTTCGTCGTTTGTTGTTCAAACATTTTTTGTACTAAATCAACTTCTTTTTTGGAACAAATTAAAATACTTTCAGCTATTAAAACAAAATAATTAAAATTTATAAAAAAAAATTATTCATTTTTACCATAATCATCGTAACCTTTACGACCAGCTCGACCAACCTAAACAAATAGCTATACAGTGGAATTCTTAGATTTATGAAAGGATACCATTTGAAGATAAGTACTAAGATCAATACATCGACCATTCTGGAGTGGACTTCGAATAATAACTAAGCGAGCAGGAAGATTGACCTAATGAAAGAATTACAATCTAATGATCTTCCTACGTAAGTTTATCGATAGATAACAAAAGAAACAATTAGTATCATCTGAAACCTTATACTAAATTCTTGCTATCTGAATTTGATAATTACCCCACTGGATAATGTACTTGTACAAACAATAACACGAATAATATTTGCTCTATATGCATTTTCAATAATTTCTCTTTCATCAATCGTTAAACCTTAAACAATATTATATATTTTCAAATATCACAAAAAATACGATCTCTCTACCGGCATGATGAAATGCAACACCCATTGGTATTGAACAAGCAAGATCAGTATCAAGACCAGCTGGCTATAACAAAAAAACAATAATTTTTATTTTTCTCTTCAATTTATTTACAGTTCGCCGTAATTGTTCGATAACATCATCGAGTTTTATTTTATCAAATGGATTTATTTGTTTGTCATTAATAATACATTGAAAATTTTTCGCTAATAATTTAGCTAATACTTCACACCAATGTTTTGTCGAACAAAAAACTAATACACTTCGACAATTATGTTCTATAACATTCCAAATAATCTCAGTTACACCTTCACTATCACCTTGATTCCATTGTTCACATAATTGAAGTTGACGTACAGGTATAAATTGTTTACTATATAAAATTGAATCAATTTTAATATATTCATCAAGTGGAATTGGACGAAATAATGTTTCATAGATATCAGCATTAAGCCATTGTGCTAATTGTTTTAAATTTGGTATTGTTGCGCTCATACCAATAATTTGTACTGGATTATTTGTTGTTTGTAATTGATTATAATATATTATTTTACTTAATAATAATTCAAGTAAATAACCACGATTTATTTCACCTATCCAATGTAATTCATCAACAATTACTATACCTAATTCATTTAAATCATTACGATTTGATAATAAACGATTGATTATACTATTAGCTTTTTCAATTGTACAGATTATAATATGACTATTAGAAAATGAATAATGAGAATCATTTGTATTTGCATAGGATGCAATACGTAAATGAAGTGATGAAAATAATTTCTAAATATTGAGCTGATTATATTTATTATAATAGGAAAAAGGAAAATTTACTCGAAAATAATTCGCTTTTTCTTGAACAATACTAACATAAGGTTCAATAAATAGAGCTTTTCGTTTTGTTTCGAGTATAGATTTAATAAGAAGTAATTCGGATACAATTGTTTTACCGCCCGAAGCTATGAAGATAAACGAAATGTTTTTTGTTTTATAAATATAGAAATAAACCTGGAGCAGAAAAGATAAAATTTCGTTTTCCTATAAATATATACGAACAAAATGAATTAAAAATAATATCAATGAATATAAGTTTACCACTTGCACTTGCTTTTTCAAGACATTCAGCTTGCCAACCAAAAAGATGTGAAATACCAAAACGTTGATAACAAGCAATAACTGATGGAGGTAGATTTAATTCGCTTAGTGGTTTTAAAGGTTTTTCTTAAAAAGAAAATTAGTCTTTTTCTTATGATAAAGAAAAAATTACCAGCAACTGGCGGATGAACAGGTTCGTTAAATGACATTTCATTTACTGCTGCTAATAAGGAATCACTAAGTGAATCCATCATAAATGAATCCGATGTGGCCATTAGAATCTAAAATATTCAAATTCAAATTCAAATTTACCGCTAATTTGTCTTTACGGAACAATAAGATAGATAAGCCAAAGATTATAAAGACTTTATTTTCATGGTACTGAGCGGATTTAGATTATATGAATCATTATAGTTTTGTACTATTGCTTAGCGAAATAAGCGGATCAACTGTATAATTTTAAATTTATAGGCTAAAGCTTATCTTACGTTGAAACTGCAAAGGCATATTTTGTGAGGTTCATAGATTTGCGTCATTGACAAAAAGATTCATACACTATCTTTCAGATACCTATTGTAAATCTATGTTATAGCACGGCAAAGTATATCTCCCTTATACATTAATTAATAAAAAATAACAGTAGAATTTATATGTAAAATTTTTATTTTTATCAGATCCATGATGCACATAAAAACAAATAAACGAAATGATAAACAATTTCAAATCTGACATAAAATGATAAATTATACAATTTGTAATGTATCTGCATAGCTTTGTAAAACATTCGATATATGTTCAATACCCTTTGCATTTGGATGTAAACCATCTTTTGATACATGTAATGATAAATCAAAATTTAATTTAATAATCTGAAATTTTTTTGATGTTGGTTGTTTCTTACGTAAATGTTTTAATTTTCTATTATATTTTCGAATACGTTTACGTATTGATTTTCCACCATTATCACCATATGTTCGATAAAAAATACTAGTTTTCGTACGTTCTGGTACAGTGCAAACAGCAACTGTACTTAAATGTGGATATTTACGATAAATTAATTGAAGTAATTTTTCAAATTTAATTATTGTTGATTCAGATCTTTCACGTGCTAAATTATTTGTGCCAATCAAAATAACTAAATGTTTTTGATTGTAAAATAATGTTTTAAAATTATCCTGTTTAATCATTGCCATTAAACGATCAATGGTACAACCACCAATTGATTCAATATAAGTTTCAGTAGATTCACGTGGTACTGTAGTTGGTTTACGAACATGATGTAAAAGAGAATCACCAATTAAAAGCATCTAAAAGTATTATATATTTTAATATTAAATATTTAGCGCCATAGGAAAAGAAAAGATTGAAATAACAAAGTCATTATTTTTGATACACATCTTTTTATCAATCAGAAAGTATGAGATAGATAAATAAGCTATAGTTAATGTCTGAAAATTCTGCTTATAAATTTAGTGCTATTCCAGCTCTTGAATACAATCACATATAGGTATCATGTTATAATACATCATCTAAAGATTCTTACACTTTTATAATGTTACGTCAGATTGGAAACTAATAAAAATGACCTAAGATGATCGCATAGATATATGGAAAGAATTTCTTCAGCATATACATAGTTTGGCTATTATGAAATAGTGGTTACCATACATGCACGTGTAATACTTATTCGTTCTTTAATATAAATATAATGTACTATTTTTATTTTCACTCGTCACGTATTCTCTCTCTCTCTCTCTCTCATTTCTTCCATCGACATTTATCTCGTACAAAGTTGACTCATTATAGATAAATCAACCAGTAGTCAATAGGCAGCCGATTATATTTCTTATGAAGTAAAATGTTGTACATTGTAATAAAAAAAGGGTACAAATTAAATGGTCAGTTCAGTTTTTTATTCAAAATGATCAGTAAAAGCGATCAGTAGTTTTATTGTGAATTATCAATAAAAAATTTAAACAGGATGTGGGTGGATAGCAGAGGGACACTCACATCCACAGGCACATTCACACCCACAATCACAAGCACCCCCACACTCTAATTCGTACCCATAAAAATATACTGACTTTTGGTTTGTTGCAACATGGAATTATAGTAAATCTTTAGAATTTAAATAAAGATTTAATGAATAAACAAGAAGTTTTATTAAGAAAATCTAAATTCAACATTTTTATAAGGAAAACAATAAATAGTTTAAGAAGAATAGCATCATAAAAATTTTTGATAGGAATAGCAGTTGATTTTTGGTTTTGATTTAGCCGAGATTTTGATGTCAAATATATAATAAAAAACGGAAAACTAAAAATGGACGTAGTTATCATAAAAACAAAAATAACAAAAAAAATTTTCAATAATGTTTTTCAGTCCATGTCCATTTTTGTGATTGTTTTTTTTTTATCACATGTAGCTAATTTTAATTTCTTGCCATCTGTTTCCATGCATGATTGTTCTTTATTGCTACGAATTTGCTGTGTTGCCTAAGATAAGAGAAATGTTTTTTTTAATGATATATTATTTGTTCGCCTTACGTTATCCCATTGCCATTCTCCAATTGGATTCCATTTTCCATTATGATCCAAACAGAATTTTTTCTTTACAATATCATGATCAGAAATAAAACAATGTTCACCAGCAGATATTTCGCCTTCTTCATTCAAACGCCATATACCCTTAAAAAAGAAAAAGAAAATATTTTAATTTTATTGGAAATAGTGTAGAATGAAAAATTCTATCGAGTTATTTATACACAAAGATATAGATCCAAAAAGAAAAAAAGCAAACAATATGTGACGTATTTAGATGAAATAAATTAATTGGTAACTACCAATATTCAATGATCGCATGTCTATTATGCATATTTGTTATCGTATACGAGATAGAACGATGTTATCAATGTAACTTTTAAGGTTTTAAAATCAGCAATTTCTATTTTGCAAGAACTAATGAAATATTTATACAGATGATTTAAAATTCGATTGTAATATAAAGTTAGTATTCAGAAGAAAACGTTTCGCCTTTTTGGTAACAATCTTATACGAGATGTATCATTCTGAATGTAACAGATTGAAAAACAAAGTTTATATGCACATTCTTCTTTGCTTTTTTCCTAATTTGGAGCGTATATATCAAAAATTAATTATGAAGAGCAGGCATAAGCACTCAGATATAAAAGAAATAAAAAACAACTCTATCTATTCACCAATCCAATCATATGTGGATCAATTAGCTTATTTATCCATTTCTAGAATATCACAAATCGAACACACTTTTCTCACTATTTTTCTCATATAAATCATACCTGTCCATAACAAGCAGAAACACCAATCGGTTGACCAAATGAAGCACCTTGATCATGTAAACAAACAGAATGTTGAACATTTCGACACTAAAATATTGCAGACATTTTTTTTTAGTTATCATGATAAAACTTTTCATAGATTTTACCTCTCCCCAAACGATATTTTTTGAAGGTGGTGGAAATTTTTGTAGAACATCATATGCAATATTTTCCATAAACCATTTAAATGATTTACATTGTAATTTTTCGCGAAGTGCTTTTCGTTCAGATATATCACCATAGTCTAATGTACGAATAGCTGGTTCACGTCGATAATAATATTCAACATATTCATCCATCCATACATGAGCTAAACGTAAATGATTTATTGATGTTTGATGCGCACTTGTACCGGGTACATATGATGAATGTGATCGAGGACCACGATAAGCATGTGCAACATGTGAACATGGTACCCATTCAACAGTACCACCACATTGCCAAACTTTAAATGATAGTTCATATCTAAAATTTAGATCAATAGTTTTGTAACTGAAACAGTATATTTAAAATATAAAACATACTGTTCGGCTCCCCATACTCGTATACCTGGATCATAAGCACCTAATTCAAAAAACCATTGACGATCAATAGCTAATAAACCACCTGCATGTGTTGGTGACCTTAAAATAAATATATTTGAATATAAGTAATAAGTATAAATAAAAAACTATACCAATAAGGTTCAGAAGTATATTTTCTTTTGTATAATTCTTGATCTGGTACTTGTGTTTCTTTATATAAAAATCCCCATTCCCAAATACCACGAAAAAGTGATGAACCATAGATATTAGTATGTTCTAATGTTTTCCATTCAAGTCCATCTACAATAGGAACAGCTAATGCTTTACGATTAAGTGCAATACGTGTTAACAATGGTGGAAGCCAATTAATAACCTACACAACATAGATTAATTATTTTTCTTCATTTAGATATTTTTAAAAGAAACAACTTACACATTCGCAATGGGCATCTAGAATAACAATCACATCACCCGTTGATTTTTCTGCACCAAGTGTACGTGCTTCAATTAGACCAACACGTTGTCCAGTACGGTAAAGTTTTACAAGACCATTCCAACGTTTTATATAATCTTCTAATGGTTTTTTTAAATCCGCTAAAATAAAAAGAGATATATTTTAATTCTATGCAAAAATTTTGCTGAATTAAAAAGAGACAGAAAAACCTTTTTTTTTTTAAAGATACATACCTTCACCACTACCATCATCAATAAGAACAACTTCTTTTAATAATTCAGGTGGTGATGTATTAATAACACTATGAACAGTACGTAACAATACACTCCAACCTTCATCATAAAAGACAAGAATGACTGAAGCTGTTGGTAAATATTGTACACTTGGATATGACCAATGTTTACATCTAAAATGATACATAGAGTAATTTCTTTCCAATTTTAAACGTCATATCTTACTCAGCTGGTCTCGTATCTTTAATACGTCTATCCATTGATATTTTATCAGAAGCAACCATATTAAAACCAAATTCTGCAATTGTTCGCTGAGCTGCCTGTTCTTCAGCGGCTGTGAGTATAACAGGAACACCTATTTAAATATAATAGAAATATGAATTCATTAATTCTAAATATTACCTCCTTCTCCTGGACCAGTTCTTAGAGGTGCATCAGCTGGTTCATAGTTTCCTAGTGAATTAGTCATTACTGGTTGTAAACTAATATTTGCCAACCGTTCTCTAGATTTTTCAATCTGTTTAAAATTAATAAGAGGTTGAGTCTTTTCATCCTAAATAACATAAAGAAAAGATCAAATATTTAATATCATAGGTATTTTGAATTTACTTTTATAAAATCAGTTACAATTTCATCAGAAACAGAGTGATTATTGGCTGATTCAAGTTTGAACATTAATAATGGTACCATTAAAATAAGTACAGCAAGTGCAAGTACAAGACGAAGCGTACGTCCAAATCGAATCCTCATTTCTAGGATAATCAGACGTCACTTCCTTCAATATTTAGTTACCTCGTCTACGCTTCACTTAATCACCTATTTTTCTTTCTTTTCCTATTGATTAATTAGCGTCCACAAATAGATTCTCTTTTTCAAAACTTTTGTTTCAAGATGGCGCTAGACGTTGATAATTTAATTGAATCATTTACCTTTTTTTCTCACATACAATTTTAATTTTGAAAAAAAAATGTTCTTCATACTTCATAGAATAGCTGTTGTCTTTGACGTATGAAGGAAACAGTCGGTAGACAAATATAATTTTCATTCTTTCAGCACTTCTGAAAATGACATCTAATTAATATGTTTTATTAATCAGAGTAAATAACCAAATAGAAATAACCTAGTCTTATATTAAAGATGAATTCATATTATCATCGCAAACATTTTTCTATTCAGACACAATCATCATCATCTTACGTTTACAGTATTCAACGTAATTGAATATCTAGAAAATTTCGTAGAACATCTGAATAAATACATACTTTGTTTCAGAATCGTCGTCCATGACTCGGAAGAAAGATTGTCAACAACAAATAAACTTACTGTTCTTCAGCTACACAAGACAAAAACTGATTTAAATGAATTGAAGATATATTATCAACATGAATTATGTTAAGGTTTGTCAAACATTTTTCTTTCTGTATTTTGTATTCTCCGCAGTCAATCATTTAACAAAAAAAAAGATTAGTAAATATTTTGTTAGAAATAAGAATAATTAGTATAATACGAGAATATTTATTTGTCATTCTCAAATATTTTAAAAGAAAAAAAAATAATGAAAAGTTGTTTTTTTTTACAACTGTTTCGTGATCATCAATTGATGATAATCAGAAATGTGTCGATTGAAAATCAAAAGAAAAAAAAATGTTCGTTGATTATTTATTAGGAATTTCCCATTGAAATCCTAAATTTTTCTTCGTTTTGTCAAATGCTGCTTTATCTTGACTACGTGGTTTTTTCTCGCTATTACTATTTGAACTTCCAGTTCTTCGATAACCTTGACTTAAATCATCGAATCGTTTCATTTCTTCGTTATAAACCTAAATTAATATTTCAAAAATATTTACAAAATATCGTAAAAATTAATCTACTTTTTTCAATGGATATGTATTACGTTCATTTTCATCCATATACGTAATAACACGGCCAGCATAATCTTGAAATTGTTGTCTTTCAATTTCATTTGTTTCTTTATCACGGTGAACTTCTTGTGCTTCATTATCTCTTACTTCACGTTCACGATCTTTTCGTTCTTGCTAAAAAAGAAATTAGTACAAAGATTTCCATATGAATGTTGTCAAATTCTAGCATTTAATTATTTAGTTTAAACCAGTAGTTAAAAAGTATGGTGAAGGCATGTCAAGTCAATTTCTCTGTAATATAAGGCTTCAACTGTTTATGATAACTTACAGCTTGTCTTAAATGAAGTTCTGCCAAATCACGAGCATTTTGATTACGTTTTTTATCTTTTTCTTGTTGATAAAGATGAAATAATTGATCAGCTTCTTCTTTTTTCTTATTCATTTCAGCTTCTTGACGTTCTTCCATTTCCTTTTCGGCTTCACGTCGTTTCATCTGAAATAAAAAGAGTATATATATATATCAGTTTGCATTATATATTTAAATAATGTTCGTACTGTTGCTTGTCTATGTTTAACAATTGATTCTTGCATTTTTTGTTGTTTTTCATGTTTTTCTTGTTCTTCACGTAATTCTTTAGCTTCTCGTTGTGCTTGAGCACGAAATATTTGTGTATCATAATCAGCTTCAGCTCGTTTTTGTAATGTACCTAAAAAGCCAGTCATATGATCACGTGCATCTTGTTTTTCTCTAGAAAACAACGAAAAGTAAACGAATAATTTTTCTCAATAAATAGATTTATGCAATTTACTGATGAGCTTGAAGTTCTTTTTCACGTCTTATACGAGCAATTTTTTTCTTAGCTTCAGCATAAATACGAAGTTCATCATCTTCGTCCTAAACATAAAAAATAGAATATAATTAAGAGAAGATTTTGTAATTCGTTTATAGTTGACTTCATCCATTTGTTGTTCCATTTTTTTAATTTTATGTTTATTTTCAAGTGCTTTATCATACATATGTTTAATATCATTCTGTGTTGCTTTACGATATCGTTCAATTTCCATATGTTCACGTGCATATTGTTCAGCTAATTGTCGATATGCTTCACCTTCTTCTCGATCTTGTTGTTTTTCAACAGCAGTTTGTGCACGTTTTCGTTCCATTCTTTAAAAAAAAAAAGACAAAATTTATATTAAAATTCAAATGAAATATTTGTACTAACTGTGAAAGTTGATATTGAGTTATCGCAGCTCGTTCTCTAGAAATAAATGAATTTTTATTGTACGAATAATAGACTATGGATTGACTTACTGTGCTTTTTTCTCACGTTTTTCTTGTTCAGATTTATTAAAATCATGATGCGCATTTTCGATTGCTCGACGTTCTTCATCTTCATCTGTTTGACGCATTTGTTGGATACGTTTTTTCATATCAAGTTGTAATTCGCGTTCTTTTAATACTTCAGTTAAAAGAAGAGCACTCTATATATCAATAAAGAAATTAGAAAAATATTATAAGCTAAATATTTAATTTAAATTTACATGAAATGTTTTAACACGATCTGTTTCATAGTATTTTAATTTTTTAGCAGTTTCAATTTGTTCTCGTCGACGTTCAGCAGCATATTTTTCTTCTTCAAGATCTACTGCTTTTCTTTTTTCTTCATCTTCTTGTTCACGAATCTTTTTTAATTCAAGTTTACGTTCTCGTGCACCCTGAAATTTTTTTTAATTAGAAACTAAATTTTTTTTTGATTTAATTTACCGCAATTGTATTTGGCCAATGTCTAGTCAATTGAGCTGAACGTTCAGCCATATCATTTTTTCGAGCTATTTCCTGTTGAATAGCATCTTTATCACGTTGACGACGATCTAAATTATCGTAGATGCGATTCAAATCATTTTTTGTTATAATACACATTGAATTAAAATTAGCAGCATTTGGTAATTGACGTTGTGGAGTTACATCTAATCGATCAATAGATGGATGTGTAGCTATTAAAATAATGTATTAAGAGAAAAACAGAATTTAATGACATAATTATTCATACCGGAAACACTACGTCTATTTTTTTGTGTTTTTAGAAGACCGTTAGGATTTGGTCTTGTCAATGGGTCTGGCAAAGTTTTAATAACCATTTTTACGAAAAGACGCAAAGTATAATGATCACCGCCTACAGTATATCAAACGTTTTGAATTACCATTTCATTCATTTGATTCTATTCGTTTCTTAGCAACATTATCATGTTTATAAATGATTTATTTAATTGAATTTCAAATCTTTTTATGACGAATTTAATGCACAATGACAATAAAAATAAGAAATAAGTAAATGAAACTAATAATTCCTTTCATAATTGTTGTTAGCCTAAACATTGTATCTAGTGTCATCTACATATTAAGTTAGAATAAGATATTGATATAGTTAAACGATATCTGCCAGTTAATCCATTGAAAACTATCAGTTTTTTAAACAGAAAGATCTGTATGTAAGCATGAAAGATAAAGCATTAACAGTATTTCATAGAAATGATGTTCAAAAATCGTTTTTCTCAAATTCTCATCATAAAACTATAACAAAAACTCTATACTTGTATTCCAAACTAGTATCTAGCGTCCTCTCTCGTTTTCTTTATTTTTAATGATGATATTTCAATTAATACAGCAAGCTATTAATTACAAGAAAGAAAAAGAATGCAAAAATTTGTCTATTAGAATAATACTGCTTCAATTACATTCGAAAGAAGATGGCACCTGTTGTAGTATAATTACTATCATTGGTCTAGTATAAACATGATAAACAAATGTTTTTTTTCCTTCTCGTCATTGTAGTTTCCGCTAGCTATGATCTTTCACTTTCACCATGTTCAAGAAAAAATTTCCTTCAAAATACTATGTTATTGATTGTTTTGTCTTTTTTTGTTAGCCAATCATGATATGAAATTTATTGCTATTAATTTTTTCAAGGTAAAAACAGATCATAGTTCACAACGGATAACAGAAAATGACAAAACATTGTATTTAAAAGTATTTATTTTTTATACACATACATATCCTTCAATTATATCTATTTTGTTTACATAGATAAAATCAGAAGTTAGTAATAAGCGATCATTTTTAATAACAATTTATAAAGAAAAGTTGTATAGCAATTAGCCGTTTAGTAAACAACAAAATAAAGCTTACGTTATTTATGAAATCTTATATTAAAAATAAAAGTATCCACTACTTAAGTAAATATTTATTATTTTGATAGGTTTTAATTGAAGTACTACATTTTTTTATGCGGTAAAGAAGATACTGATTAATATCAAATAAATAATTTGATGGTCATAGAGTAGAGATGAAAATAATTGATACACTTGAGAGATAAATACATTCGTATATATATAAATTATCTTTATGATTTATTGATTATTTTCTAGTCGTTTAATCTCATATGGCCTTTTTTCTAAGTCCTATGATCAAACGTAGAGTAAACCTTATTGTTTTTTACTTATATCAGTAAGACAGAAACTTGATAAACCACAAAAAAAATGTTATTAACTATTTTTATTATAGTTAATTGATGTTGACAATCGTTTCTCTCAATCTGATATTAATATAAATGTACTGTAAATCTTTGAGAAGATAAAATTCATATGTAAGTAATAAGATATTGATAGACTGAATATTAGATTGAGAACTGATCTTTTTTTTTGTTTGAATTAATAATCATTCAAAGATTATATTCACTAGCACGTATGATCTAAAAAAATGCCAGATCATGAACCATCATTCTCTAGAGTATAGCTCTAACGGAAAATAATTTTTTTGCATGAGCGTGATTAATAATCCTTATTCTATGACATACTATTTTACTCTCTTGACAATCCAAAATAATATTTTTTTTGTAATGCAAATCGCCATTGTATTTTATCGTGTCTCATAAAATCATGAATTCTTTTTTTTTCAGATAAAAAGCCTAGTCTGATGTCGTTAGTCAAATAAATACCACGCAAAAACATATGAATCATACACATCTATTAAGACCTCAAATATGGTAAGTGACTCATTTTATTCCTTGAAAAGTACATTATACATGATATATATATATATAATGTATTAGTCATACTAATCTATCTTTCTAGAATCAAGTACTGAAAAATACATGATATAGCTCGTTTTTTAATATTTATCAGCAAGTGGAAGGAAAGATAAGGTGATATATATTGAATGTCAGCACTAACTAGTACACATAACCGATCATTGTCTAGATGTATTAGTATAATACAAGTTGTTGAGTTCAACTGGGCGTTGTTGCTTTTTCTTTCCTTGTCCTATGTGTAACTAAAGAGACCCTATGACTGATCACTTAGTCTGTATGTGTCATTATATTTTCATGCCCGTGGCTTCCTTTTCTTCCTATCATTTACTATTCCTCTTGCGTACTTATGCCGTTTCATTTTTCTTTAATATTGTACTAATAGACAGTTACAAATGAAAATATGTCCCATCTGATACATTTGCTTTTGTGTCTAAATAAATTGTACTTTTTCATTACCATTACAGCCTTCGTTTCTTTCTATATTCCATTCAAAACAAAAAGAACATATGGTGAGGGATGTAATTATCTATATGCGTCATTCTATTCCGCTTTGAAAAGTTATATAAAGTCTAGTCAAATATATGTTTTTCGTCATAGAAGAGATCGTAGTTCCCCTTTTTTTGTTGTAGGTATGTTCTAATGACTTGCTGATGCTTTGTTGTCTTGTTATCTTATTTTTTTTTTCTCGAACGCCCCCAGAGATCATCACAAAGAAGAGGTCAAAGTCTTTAGTATGTGTATATCATATGTAAACATATGCTTGATATAAAAAAATGAATCGCGTAATTTAATTAAGAGAAAAAGGAAGAGTATATATATGATTTCGATTTTCTTTTTAATGAATGTTTCTAGAGTAACATACCTACGATAAAAAAACACATCAATGCGTTTGAAGTACGTAATTGAAAGTGTTGTTAAGGAATATGTATTGA